AGGGTGAAGCCAGAATGTTCCCTGGAGTCAAGGATTCTGAAGCTTCGTCTGACATACTTTGGGCATGTTGCAAGGAGGGACTGGTCGTTGGAGAAAGACATCATGTTTGGGAAAGTGGAGGGACGGTGCGAGAAAGACCCTCGATGAGATGGTTAGATTCTGAGTGGAGTGGTGGGAATGGATGTGTTTGAAGCAGCGAGATTGGCACAGGATAGAATGGCATTTAGGGCTCTTGTACATAGGGTTGCTATGAGTCACAAATGACTTGATAGCACATTAACAACAACAACAACAACAACAAAACATTGTTTACTATGAACTAGAAACCTGACTGATCTCCACATGCTTCTGAAAGAGCTATCCTACTTGTTACTTGCTGAAAACGACCATTTGGGTTTTATTTCATTTACTTATATTTAAAAAAGCACATCCAATTCTTTGAAGTGGCTCAATGACAGTTTATAAAACAAAGTGAGATATGATTCTAGAATGTTAAGGTTTTAAAGTTGTATTTGAATTAAAAAAAAAAAAAAGAGATTTCTTTAAACAAAAACAACATATCCATTCTTCCAAGCATTAAAAAAAAATCTGAAAGGCAAAGCCTTTTCTCTTACAAAGAGGAAAACTGTTGGAGAGCTCATGAATGTTTCAAGAATTATTAGCCATGCAAACCCTAGAATGACAATTTCCTAAAGCTATCCTCTTAGAGAGTTAAAGTTTTATAGTCAGATAGCATTCCAGATAATCATTTATTTGAGGGGCATAAAATAAATAAGTTGTATACAAAGTTTTTTGTATTTTTATTTACAAATGAATTTCATAAATAAACATGGTCAAACCACAAAATGTTTTCACTTCCATCTTTCATAGCTTATAAAAATTATCTTAATAGATATTGAAATCTGACTGTTAAAGTTGCATATATACATTTCTTGTCTCTAACCATTATACAGACATAACACTGCTCTAATTTTTAATATACAAATATAATCTGTAAGCTAACAGAGTACTTCCTACTAGTATGACCCAAATTTTGTAAAATATAAAAATTTTATATATCCTGTATTTCAGGAAACTTATTTCCTGATCATTATTATGTGGAACTACAGTGATAATACCTGGTAAGCATTAACAATTATTTTTATGGTGAGAAATTTTACAAGGTCAGAGATAAGATTTTCTTAATAATGAAAATAACTTTGTTCCCAACAGATATGCCCTGCTATTTTTTCTAAATAGTGCAGAAGAAAGTCTTAATGAAAAATGAAACAAAAGCTAGTTATTTGACTTTTTGTTTTTTTCTTGCTTGAAACTGTTCTGTCTTGGTTTTTATGGACTTAATCAACATTGACAATGAAGGATCAATAGATTTCTTCTGTGATTCTTCTTCCATCTCTCTTTCTTTTTTCTTTATTGCCTGAGTAAATTCTTGTTCTTTCTGTTCTCTTCGCCGGGCTTTCTCCTCAAGGATTTTTTCCATAGCTTTTGTTTTCTTGAAATTAGGATCTGAGGGATCCAAATTAAATAAGTGGGACGTATACATTGCCTGGAACCGCGCATCCTTAACATTTACCTGGAAACAAACAAAATTAATAAATCAAAAGGTCCAGAAAGAGTCCCCGTATTTAGACAGTATTGTTGATTATTTAAAATATTCTGGGAATGGGCCTTACAATGCCATTAAAGACCACTAGTAAACCATTTCTTGATAAGTCCATATGTAACATTCAAATCACATGGCTCTCATCATGCATTGACAATCGCTTTGAATGAGAACTTGACTGGTGGCACTAGCCACTCAGTTTAATCAACTGCAGGAATACTGAAGCTGCACTTCCCATGTTTACAATGTGAAATCTGTTTATATAAACTGCACAAGCAAATTGATTATGCCACTTCCTGCTGGAGGATTAGGTAGCACATAAAACAATGTAGATTCTGAGAAAGTTTAACCCTTGTGACAAAACTGGGTTGAGTTTAAAGACTAAAGAGTATCTGATGGTATTTTTCAATTTCTTCCCCTGCATCTTAAAGTTGGACAATAAATAAAGAAGACTGAAAAAGAACTGATGGTCTTTGAATTGTGGTACTGGAGAGAGTACTGAACTATCACAACAACACACACATCTTGAAGGAAGTACAATCAGAGTGCTCCTTAGAGTCAAGAATGGTGAAAATTAATCTCATGTACAATGGCCATGCTGTCAGGAGGGTCTAGTCCTTGGAAAAAGACATCATGCTGGAAAAGGTGGAGCGTCAGAGAAAGAGAAGACGACTCTAACAGTGATTGCGACAATGGGTCCAATCAAACATCAGAGATGCGGCGATGGCACACGACAGGGTGAGGTTCAGATCTGCTCTTGAGAGGGTTGTTATGAGCTGTAGCTACGTTGATGGCATATAACAACAATGAGGTGCTTGATGGTTTAACAAATTTAAAGATCACCAGGGGAGGTCTGCCAAAGGAACAAACAGGTATGTCTTGGAGAAGGTGCACCCAGAGCACTCCTTGGAGGCAAAGATGATAAATTCTGTTCGTCTCACATACTTTGGGTATGTCACAAGGAGAGGCTATTCCTTAAAGAGAAACATCATGCTTAGAGGGTGGAGGGACAGTGGAGGAGAGGAAGACCCTCAACCAGGTGGACTGACACAGTGGGTGCAGCAATGGGCATGAGTGTGTCAGAGACAGGGTTCAGATCTGTTGTTCATAAGGTCACTATGAGTCTTACTTGACTAGTGATCTCTAGTGGCCTAGTGGGTAGGGTGTTGAGAGCTAACTCACAGGTGACTAGTTTGAATCTACCAGCTGCTTCCTAAGAGCAAGATGGGCAAGATCCTCTTGTGTGACTTACAACCTCTGAAGATCTGCTTGAAAGTCAGCTCTAAGTCGGCTCCACTTAATAGCAGTGGGGGAGAAGAAGGGAAGAACTCTGGGGGCACAGTCTGTAAGAAGTAGGGCTGTTAACCCAAAGGCTGTGCCTCTTCGGTGTTCCTCCAGAGGTTCTGATGTAGAAAGAGGTACAATCTTCCCTCCTGCAATTTACTATCTCAGAAACATGCTGGAGGCTCAGCTATGAATTGATTCTGACCCAATGGCAACAGTTAAAGTTATAAGAAAGACTAAGATCTAGTAAAAGAAAAAGCTCCAAATTTTTCTTATTTCTAAAAATGTTTTGCTTCCACCTTTAAGAGTGTAGCTTTTCTGTATACCCATGTTTATCGCTTTGTTATTCACAATAGCAGAGAGATGGAAACAACCCAAGTGCCCACCAACAAACCAATGGATAGAAAAAAACTGTGGTATATTCATACAATGCAGCACTAAAAACCAATTAACTTGTAAAACATTACACAACACGAGGGACCCTGGAGGACATTATTCTGAGTGAAATATCTCAGTCACAGAAGGACAAATACTCCACAGAACCACTTGTTA